CCTCACCGGGTGGAAAAAGCGCCCGCGCGCGTGCGGCCACGCTCCCGCAGACTTCGGGGAGGAAGAGCACGCGTCGCGCCGAGCAACTTTGCTTGAGGGCTCTGGCTTGGAGACTACAGCAGCATTCGTCTCGCTGGCATCAGACCCAGCGTCCGATCTGAGAAGCGATCGGCATCCACGCGCGGTGCCCAAAGAGGAACGCACCTGTCAGGAGGTGCATGCGCGGCACGGCCCTGATTGTGACGATTTGGTGCGTGAGTACACGCCGCGCACGAGCTGGAGTGCAGCATTCAAGAAAACCCAGCACTGTGGTGGAGAGCAAGATTTCGCCCGTTCGCGCGCAAGGTGCGGCGCGTCCCACTCCTGCCACGCATGTTTGCAGCGTAGACGACGAGACGTCCCGGTTGGACGGCAAGGCGTACATTTTTGTGGACAGGGGGGAGCGTCCCACTCAGGGGCGCTGCCATGGTACAGGCGATAAGAGTAGAGGCATGTACGCTTCAGGGGTAGAGATCGGAGCTAGAGGATGAGGGGGACGAGGAGCCACGGGGAGACACACAGGCAGGCGCAGAGGCCAGCGGGAGGAGGGGAAGACGAGGAGCAGGAGGAAGAGGATGAGTAGGAGGAGAAGCACGAGGAGGAGCAGGAGGAAGAGGAGGGGAAGGACCCAGAGGGTGGACGAGGGTGATGATCATGAGGAGCATGGGAGGAGGAGGGAGAGGATAAGGATGAGGATGAGGATGAGGAGGAGGACGTGGATGATGATGATGCTGATGATGGTGATGCTGACGATGGTAATGCTGATGACGATGATGATGCTGCTGATGATGAGTATGATGATGCTAACGAGGAAGACCATGCTGATTGTCATGATGATACTGATGACGCTGATGATGACGACGTTGATGACCATGCTGATGATGACGATGATATTGATGACGATGATGCTGACTATGATAAGGATGTTGATGATGATGATGATGATGCTGATGATGATGATGATGATGATGCTGATGATTCTGACGACTCTGATGATGCTGATAATGTTGATGATGATGATGATGTTGCTGATGCTCACGATTATACTGATGATGATGATGATGATGATGATGCTGTTGATGCTGCTGATGATGTTTATTGTGATGATGACGATGATCTGATGCTGATGGTGATGGTGGTGGTGATGATCATAATTATGATGATGCTTAGGAAAGTGATTGTTCGTAATATGATGATGTCGGCGATGATGGTGGTGGTGATGATGAGGATGATGATGATGATAACGATTTTGATGCTGATGCTGATGCTGATGTTGATTATGTTGATGATGACGATGACGGTGATGATGATGATGATGATGATGATGATGATGAGGATGATGATGATGATGATGATGATGATGATGATGATGATGATGATGATGATGATGGCAATGCTAATTAGGATGACGATAATGAAGATGATGATGCTGATACTGATGATGCTGATGATGATGACGATGCTGATGCTGATGATGTTGATGATGACGATGATGCTGCTGCTGCTGATGATGCTGATGATGATAATGGCTGCTGTTGCTGATGATGATGGTGGATGATGATGATGATGATGATGAAGATGAAGATGAGGATGAGGATGAGGATGAGGATGATGATGATTAGGAGGAGGAGGAAGATGAGGAGGAGGAGGAGGAAGAAGAAGAAGAGGGGGAGGAGGAAGAGGAGGAGGAGGAGGAGGAGGATGAGGAGGAGGAGGAGGAGGAGGAGGAGGAAGAAGTGGGGAGGAGGGAGGAGGAGGAGGAGGAGGAGGAGGAGGAGGAGGAGGAGGAGGAGGAGGAGGAGGAGGAGGAGGAGGAGGAGGAGGAGGAGGAGGAGGAGGAGGAGGAGGAGGAGGAGGAGGAGGAGGAGGAGGAGGAGGAGGAGGAGAAGGAGGGCATGAGGAGTGAGGTTGGAGCAGGGAGGAGGAGGAAGAGGGCAGGATGGAGGAGGGAGGGGGGAGGAGGGAGGAGGGAGGAGAGAGAAGCGAGGAGGATGAGGAGGCGCAGGATGAGGAGGAGGCACAGCGAACTGCACGCCTTTCTCCCGTCTCTTTAGGCGTAACTCGCGTCCAGCACGGCTCAGCCCGTGAGCCCGTCCACGCAGGTCTATGCAGACCACGTCATGTAAAGCCTCTTGTGGAAATCCCTGCGCCCTGTGGCCGTCATCAATCGCTGCGAGGAAGATCGGGGCGGTAACCAGGTACTTCTCCCCAAGTCTGGGAGGATACGTCCACGCGCCGGCCTCCAAGTCCAACGAAGAAACTGCACCTTTCTCGGGCTTGGCGGTCTTGTAGATGTTTTTGAGTTCTGGTACGTTTTTTAGGTTTGAGATCTCCCCAGGTTTCGGCTTAGAGTTTTTAAACGTTGTTTTTAGAATTTGAGATTGTTGCAGGTTTTGGTTTAGTTTTATGTTTTTTTTTTAGAGTCTGAGATGTTCGCAGGCTTTGGCTTCGAGATGTCTTGTTGTTTTTAGAGTTTGAGATTTTCGCAGGCTTGGGCTTAGAGATGTTTGGAAGTTTTCTTAGACATTGAGATTCCCGCAGGTTTTGGCTCAGTTTTTTTTTTTTTTTTTTTTTTTTGTTGAATTTGAGTTTCTTCGCCCGAGATGGTGGTGGATCGCCTGTAGTCGCTATTGCCGAACCGAATCCGAATAGGCGAGGCCGGAGGATCGCACCGCAACGCTGATGCACCGCCGATGTCGACGGCGCCGCTGCATCGCAAACGTTCGCCGATGCATCAGCGACTTGGCGCGACCCTCCCACTCGGACCCGACCTGGGAGGCCTCCAATCAGGCTTCGCCCTTGGGCGAAGCCATACAGTGGGGGCCCGACCACAAGAAACCTTCCACAAGAAACCCAACCCTGAGACCCCAGGACGTCCATTGATTTTTGTCGCAGGCCTAGAGGTTGACACCAACACCAATATCGGCGGCGTGCTTCTACCGAGGAAAGAAGATCCCGACCTCGGTGATGGTGGTCGTATTCTGGCTTCCAAGGTGGCCGAAATATTACCACCGGCACCGAAATCTGGGACCATCTTCCCCCTGTGGAGGCACCCTCCTGTGTTGGTGTTGGTGCCCACTTCCAGGCCTCCAATTTTGGTGTGGGAACGTCACGCTCTCCATCGCAAAGCCATGGAAAACCCCAGGCCATGTCGGCTCGGGGCGAGGCCCGCCCCGCCGCAGGCCCCGCGCGCTGGGCGGCGCGCCGCGGCGCGACCGCGGCGCCGCCTCCGATGCACCAGTCGCGCTACACGGCGCTCCGCGCAGAGGTGCGCGACGTCGGTCGCTGACATCTGGCCGTCCCCCACGACAAACGAGTAGGCGGCCACAGAACCCTACCCCTACCCCCCACGATTTCTGAGGGGGAGGGTTCGCCTGTGGCCCCCTAACGAGATACGGGTTGACCCAAAAGGGGGTCCAGCGACAAGGGGGTGGTGCAATATATTTGGTGCCATAGATCTGTGGGGTTGCAGTACATCTGGGGCGTGCCATACATTTCGGGGCGCAGATGTGTTGCTGTACCTTCGCGCGCAACACGTTACCTGCAATACAACGCAATACAAGTCTCCGGCGCAATACGTTTGCAATACAATTGCCCCAAATCTATTGCACCACCGCCTTGCAGCTGGACCCCCTTTTGGGCCGCCCAGGGAGACGCTTCGATGCCTTTTCGCCATGAGGGTCCCCGAGTGTCGCGTCCGTCGTTCTCTGTCTCCTCTGTGGGGCCCTTCCTGGGCCCCGGGGCCGTCAACAGCAGCGGCCCGCGACAGCGAAGACTGGTTCCGGGGAAGGCCCTAGGGTCCGGGAGCCGTTGCCCTCCGTACCCCCTCTCCCTCATGGCAGAGGGTGTCTTCCATCAGCCGCACGTCGCAGGCCCTCCGAGGAGCCCGGGATCGTCCCCAGAGGCCGTCCGGGGCTTGAGGTGTTGCCCGAAGACCAACCGGAGGCATGAGGACCGCCCTCTCGCCACAGCAGAGCGTCTGGAAAACAATGATCACGGCCGGCCTTCTCGCCCTGTGCTGGGTCCTGGGGCCCTCGCGAGTGGATGGGGCACGAGACATCCAGTGCAACGGTGGTGTGGGGAGTTCCGCTCGTGATTTCTTCACGGCGTGGTGATTTTTGTCACGACCTCGGATGTCATCGACCGCCAGGGCGGCGCAGACGCAGAGCGCCTTCAGGAGTGGCAGGAGGCGTCCTCCTCCCCATCCAGACCTCGTCGTAGTCGTCGTCGTCGTCGTCGTCGTCGTCGTCGTCGTCGTCGTCGTCGTCGTCGTCGTTCTTGTTGCTGTTCTTCTTCTTCTTCTTGTTGTTGTTGTTGTTGTTGTTGTTGTTGTTGTTGTTGTTTTTGTTTGTTGTTGTTCTTGTTGATGTTACTGCTGCTGCTGCTGTTGTTGCTGTTGTTGTTGTTGTTGTTGTTGTCGTTGTTGTTGTTGTTGTTGTTGTTGTTGTTGTTGTTGTTGTTGTTGTTGTTTTTGTCGTTGTTGTTGTCGTCGTCGTCGTCGTCCTCTGGCCTGCACGTGGCCATCGCGCAAGTATGGGTGCCGAAGCATCGGAGCTGGGCGTAACTGCCGCAGTGTGAGGCACGGCTGCCCCGGGCGTGAGCAAGGCCCGACCGGTGACCACACCGTGTGGTGAGTCTGTGGGGATTCAGGGTGACCGTACGGTCTTGGCACTTGGGTCTCTCCCCAAGGATGTCTAGGGCGACCAGGGCCTCCAAGGTCCTGATAACCGTGCGCTGACGGACCGTGCGGCGAGGTTTTTCGAGATTTCGAGGTTACCGCACGGTCTGTCACCGCACCGTTATGGAACCCCCAGAGGCGGGTTTCTGAACACCTCCTCTTCTTCCTCCTGTAGCAGCGTTGTGAAACGGAGCCCCCGCAGAGTGGAACAGAGCGTGCAATGCTATTGATTTATGCCTGGCCGTGCACATTACGGCTCAAGTGTTTTTTTACGTGGCGGCGAATGGGAGATTTCGGCTGGAGCACTCCCCCAAAAGCTTCAGCCTCCGATCCCGTCGGCTCCTGGGGCAGCGATCTGCGGGTGTCGCCCAGTGCCCTGGTGATCTCCACCATTGCTGCCAACGCCTGCCTGTCGCAGGTGGACGTGTGGGGGACACCGGTGCCGCTTGGGGCCGCGGCCATCGCGACCTGCGTGAACTTTTGGGTGGGGATCCTGGCCGTGGCGGTCCAGGCGACGGCGTGCACGTGCTTGGTGTCGGTGCGCGTGCTCTTGTGGGGATTCACCGAGACGGAGGCGAAGCTGGTCCGCGCGGCTCACGTCGACGATGGGCCCAAAGCGGCGCGTGCGCCAGGCGCTTAACGTGCAGCCGGGGGAAGTGATCTTCGTCGACTGGCGTGGAGGGGGAACCTTGGCATGAGAGGCTGGTCCTGGCGGCACTCGGAGGAGCGCGGCACATCATCCTCGCGCCGGACCGGGACATGTACGAGAAGGAGGTCGACAGCCTGAACGTGGAGGAATTCAAGCAGGCGGGGCCCAGGGGCGGCCTGCTAGCGGGCTGGCACGAGGTCAGCTGGTGTACCGCTTCACCGAGAGGCCGAAGGGCGCCGAGCTGCGTTCGTGGATCGACCGCTGGCGGGCGACGAGCCGGAGCCGGCTGGCGAGCCGGGGCCGCCGCTGCCTGCCCCGGTCACGGAGGCGCTTCCGGTGGGCGACGGGCTAGCGGCCATTGGGCAGCGGGCCGACTTGTGCTGTGTGGCAAGCGCGGGCAGCGTGAGGCGCGGGGACGTCTACTCGTTCTCCGACTCTCTGGAGACGCCGTCGGGGGTGTTGACTGGGATCGGCAAACACGGCTTGTATGATCAGGGCCGGCACGGCAGTTCGGCGGTTCTGGTGCTACTGGCGCCGGGCGAGACCGCGAGCAAGGCGCCGAAGGCCTTCGGCGCTGGCTTAATGGCCCGGGCCCTGGCGGCTGAGGAGGGGTCCCCAACGCCGCAGGCGCAGGCTGAGGACGCGCGCGCGCGCTCGCGATCCTGCGCGACTTCGACGGGTCGCAGGTTCCGCAACCTGCGGAGCGTGGCGGAGGTGGCCGAGAAGTGCGAGTTCGAGGATTGGGTGCTGTCGGGGCCCCGCGCCACGCTGTACGTAGCCTCGGAGATCGCGAAGCAGAGCGGTGGCCCGGTCCAGCGGCACACCACTTGGAGGCACGAGAACAAATTGAACGATGAGGAGCACAGCGTCGTGGCGTATGAGATGCTGTCGGAAATCAGAGCGCTGGCGTGTACCTACGATCAGGTAGACTGTTCCACCCTCGCGAGCATGGAGGCTCCTGCGAGGCACGTGGAGTTCATCGAGCAGAAGAGCAATACTAATCATGATCATAATAATGACTACTACTACTACTACTACTACTACTACTACTACTACTACTACTACTACTACTACTACTACTACTACTACTACTACTACTACTACTACTACTACTACTACTACTACTACTACTACTACTACTACTACTACTACTACTACTACTACTACTACTACTACTACTACTACTACTACTACTACTACTACTACTACTACTACTACTACTACCACTACTACTACTACTACTACTACTACTACTACTACTACTACTGCTACTACTACTACTACTACTACTACTACTACTACTACTACTACTACTACTACTACTACTACTACTACTACTACTAATGATACTCATGGTACTAATACTGATACTAATACTAATATCAAGGCTACCGTGAAGGACTTCGGCTCCCAGGACTACTACCTCGGCCGCGCGCGCCGCGCGGGAGGCGCGATCGTGAGCCCTGCGTTGCTGAAGTGGGTGGCAGAGTCGGCTGCAAGGGACTCGGACATTCTGAAGGAGGAGCGGAAGGCGCGGAGGAACGGGCCCTGGGGCGCGCTCCTCCGGAGAAGTCATGATGACTTTCGAGGCTAGGGAGGGGGGTGGCCGACCCCAGCCGGTGCCACCAGGCCCTGGAGCGCATGGTGCCGAGGGATCTCTTGCCCTTGCCGTCGGTGCAGTTGTGCCCAGCGCGTGGCGCGCGGTCTTTGCCGCGTCGCGCCGCTTAGAGGATCCGTCGCAGGACTGCTGTCGGCCGCCGCGTGAACAGCTGCATCGCCGCCCTGAACAACCTTCACGGGGAGGGCGACTTGCTCGGAGGCCCGGCCTTCGGAAGCACAGTTTTCCGTTGTGGACATGCTTTGGCAAGCCGTGTCTCGTGTCTGGGGATGAGCTGGCGGACGACGCCCCCAGCCCCGCGGCGGCCCTTGGGGGGTTGCTCGGCTCGGGATGTTTGGGTTGCGGCCCAGACGGCCCCACTGGGGATGCGCCGTATGATCGTGGTCTTGTTTCGTGGCCCGGGCCAGCGGGCTGCGTCAGCTTGCTGGAGGTGCTGCCGGAGCCTGACTACCAGGAGATGGTCGACGGTGAACGTTCGCTTTTGCTTCGCGCTGATGAGGTCCACCCTGGCACCACTAAGGTGTTATTGCTAAGGCCTTACGGCCGGTGCCGCCGACCCTGAAGACGACGACGACGACGACGACGACGACGACGACGACGACGACGACGACGACGACGACGACGACGACGACGACGACGACGACGACGACGACGACGACGACGACGACGACGACGACGACGACGACGACGACGACGACGACGACGACGATGACGACGACGACGACGACGACGACGACGACGACGACGAATACGAGGAGGAGGAGGAGGGGGATTAAAGTGGAAGGGAACAAGAGAAGGCGTAGGAGATGTTCCCCATGTGGGCCGAGGGAACCGTGGCAGAGACAGACAGGGAGCTTTGTGGCCTGCGGCCCTTCCCGCCGCCGTGCTGGGGTTGTGGTTGACAGGCCTCTTGGATGTTTTCGGGCCTGTTGGGGCCTCTGTTGGGCCTCTTGGGGGTCTCTTGGGGGCGTCTTCGGGCCCCTTGAGGGGCTCTAGGGGCCTCCCGGGCGCTTTTTGGGGCGGGAAGCTCGAAATGTCGGTTCGTTGTCCTCTTCTTGGGCCTGCTTAGGGCCCTCTTGGCGCGTCTTGGCGCTTTTTTGGGGCTCCGGGACGCCCAGAAGCGGATGCGTATCTGACCCCCGCCCCCGGGACCACCCCCCCCTCGGCGGGGGAGGGATCAAAGGGAAGGGGCTTCCCTTCGACTTAAGTACGACGTTGCTACGGTTTTCTCTCGCTGGCAGTCTTGAAAAGGAGGGTGCAGGAAAAGGGGGCGACGGAGACGCAGGGAAAGAGGACAACGGATGCGTCGACTGAGCGCACGCGGACAAGGGGTCCACACGCCTACAGGGTCGGCGGATTATTGGGAGAAGACCTTGAAGTCCAACGGAGACGAGTACTTGCTGTTCGTTCAGGACCTCCTGGCTCGTGGCATGGTGGAGCTGCGCACTCGTCGTGGTTTCGAAGTGGGAGTTTTCTTTGTGAAGAAATCAGGCAGGTTCAGGCACATCGCGGATGCCCGAGCCGTGAATCAATCCTTGGAGCGGCCGCGAACGATCCACTTGGCGTCGACCGCGGCTGTGGTGGGCCTGGAGGTCGAGGGCGGCGCCAAGCTGGAATTCTCGATTCAGGACATCGCGGATTGCTTGTACCAGCTGGTGCCGTGGTGCCGTGGTTCGGCATGCGCCCGCTCAGGGCCCGCGAGCTGGGAGTGAATGTGGTGAAGGACCAGATGGTCTCGGAGGGGGCGTGGGTGTACCCATGCCTCAAGGTGCTACTCCTGGGATTCTCCTGGGTTATGAGGTGGACGCAGCAGGCTCATCGTATGTTTCTTCGACGGGGAGGTCTCGATGGCATCGAGAGCGAGCTGGGTGATCGCCAGATCGCGCCGGGCGTGGACTCGTCGCCGGTGCTGCGGATCGTGTGCGTGGACAACGAGATCTGTGTTTCTTCGCAGGTGAGCGCCACTCGCGGCGCGCGCAGGCAGGCGGCCAGTGTGATGACCCCGGCAGGCTTCCTTCTGCACAAGGTGGACGAGAGCAAGTCGGTGGCTTTCATGCCGCCTGCATGGTGCTTTTCCTCGCCCGCGACCGTCCATATTGTCTTCTCAGGTTGCTGCCTGCAAGGGCCGAAGAATTCGGACGCTTCTTTTGTTTGTGCACCCCAGAAGGGGTCATTTACGGCCCCAGCCATCGCGCGGGGCCTTCAGATTTTTTTGAAGCGCTTGCCAGCAATAGCCGAAACATTCATCATACATTGTCGAACGGCTGCCCCAGAAGGGTAGCCGTTCACTTTCCTTGCGCAGGTCCCGCTCGCTACATTGACCAAGACAGGACAAGGGCCTGTCCAGGGAGGGACCCATACCTCTTCATCCTCCGCTCGGCCGCCCCATTGCTTAGTGGACGGCGCGGGGCCGCGCGCTGACTGAAGAGCCTGACGGTGCCCCCAGGTGACGTTCGTTCCTCCTCCTCCTCCTCCTCCTCCTCCTCCGCTTTCTTCTCCTCCTCCTCCGCGTCCTGCGTTTCCGCCTCCTCCTCCTTCTCCTCCGCCTCCTCCTCCTCCTCCTCCTCCTCCAGCAGGCGGTGCCGGCCTCGCCCAGCGCCGCGGGCGGCCGCTGGCGCGGGTTCTGCGCCAGGGGGCTGCTCGCATTGCCGGCCGCGAGGGCAGCCAGCGCCGCGGTGCTGCTCCTGGGCGGCGCGCTGCTGGCCTCGCGATGGTCGGCGAACGTGGCGCGCCCCCAGCGGCCGCGGTGGCTGGCTCCACGCGGCGCGCTGCAGAAATCTAGGCCTCCTGAGTGGGGTTTCGGAGCAGATGGGGTCGGGAAGATCGCGCCGCACCGCCGATGCATTGACGATGCGGCTCGATGTGGAACCCGATTTTCTCCACGCCGACGTCGCCGATGCATCGCCGATGCGTCGGCGAAGTGGCGCGATCCTCCATCCCCATCCGCCTGGGGCCCATTCAGGAGGCCTTAAAGAGAGGGCCTCGCTGTCGGGAGATCGAGAAGTTGATATCTCTTCGGCAGGAGGAGGGGGAGGAGGCGTGAGGCGGCGGAAGGCTCTGGCGGCAGGCGGAGGAAATAGAACGGGGGCGGTTCCACTGGCGGAGGCTGGCGGAAGGCCAGCGAAAGCGGGCGAAAGGAAGAGAGTCCCACCCGAGAGATGTCAGCCCTTTGAAACTCAGGGTGTCTGGAGCGGCCCACACAGACCTCCAGGCGTCGCGACGCAATGACGACGAGCGCTCTTGGCTGCCCTGGAACGCCCGTGCTGAAGCGCAGCACGTACCGAGTTCGAAGCGTCTGGATTGAACACGCTGCGTGTGTTGTTTTAGCACGTGTTGGCTTACGTGCTAGCGATTGCATCGCGCCAGGCCTGCGTCTTCAGTCTACGTTTTGAACTCAGTATCAACACGCTCCAGGTTGCGTATTGCGTTCCAGGGCAGCTAAGCGGGCGCTTTCTCCTCGACCTCGGCTCCAGGAGGCAGCTGTCGGGCACAGGGGCAAAGAGAAACCGATCTGGGACGAAGTGCGTCCCAGTGGCAGGGGCCCCTGGGGCCAAGAGTTTTGGGTGCCCACGTCGTGAAGAGACCGCGACGCTGGAGGTCTGGACAGGATCCCCGGCGCTGATAGTCAAGGCGGCGGTCGCTGCGCACAACGCCTCTCGAGGGCGTCGTGAGTCCTGTGACTGTAGCTGGGCCAGCACCGCCACGTGCGCGGGGAGCAACAACGGCACGTGCTTCAAGGCCTGCTGCGGTGGTGACCAGACCACCTGCCCCGACCGAGGGGGCTGCACGTGCGACTGCAGCTGGGCGAGCGACGCGTCGTGCCAGAAGGACGACGGTGGGTGCTGCCACGGCTGCTGCTGTAACAACGTGGTGCCTGGAAAGCCGCAGCCCGTGTGCGTTCACAAGCACCCGGAGGACTTCTTCCCCATGGATCTGCCCAGCAGCGACGTGTCCTTGAACATATTCTGTTTCGCGTTGATGATGCCCGACAGTTACGAGCAGGACCTGATCCAGATGCAGTACAAGAAATGGACCAGCATATTTGCTTGCGACGGCTATGCTGTGTACAGCAGTAAGGTCATCTCATTGGGAGACGATCTTAAGACCAGAAAGGTGAATAGTTCGCTGGACTGCAAGAAAGGAGGCGAGTTCGGGACGGCGCTGAACACCGACATATTTTTCGCTGTCTGGGACAGGGTCGCCGAGGACGGACAGTATCTGCTACACAATTGGACCGTAAAAGTGGATCCGGATACCGTTTTCTTGCCGTGGCGGCTGCGCCCAGTGCTGCGGAATCACTCGTCCTGCTCTGGAGGAGTTTACTTGAACAATTGCAAGCATGGGTTGCATGGCCCGATCGAGGTGTTCTCGAAGGAAGCGGTGACGATATGGCTTCATGGCCGGCCGAAGTGCACGTCTCATTTCACGAAGATGTGCAATGGCTCCTGTTATTGGGGCGAAGACATGTTCATAGACCAGTGCCTCTGCGCGGTCCTTGGAGTCAGGCGTGACAATGACTACAGCCTGCTGGTAGAGGACAACTGTGATCCCTCAGTTGACTGGCGGTCTTGCGATGACCCTCTCCGGATCTCGTTCCATGCGTTCAAGACCCTGGAGAGCTGGGAGCAGTGTCATCAGAATGCAAATTTCTTCGACCCCCCGCCGTCAACAAGCACTACCACGACCACCACAACAACTCTCACTACCAGTACGACTACGACGACACCAACGACAACAACCACAACTGTTACGTCCACCTCCACCTCCACTTACACAAATACAACGACAACTACGCGTACAACTGTGACGTCTACGACAGCGACCACGTTTACAGACACGACGCTAAACACAACAGATGTATCTGCAGCCCTGAACTCGCATACGCCTGGGAAGGGCGGCGCGAGCCAGTTGGAGTTCAATTGCGACACGGCTCTCAACAATTGGCGAGCGGCCTGGTCCGACGCTAAAAAGATGTGGTGCTGCCAGCGTGCCCAGAAGGGCTGCGTCGACGCGAACGCGACCACGTCGGAGCCCTTCGACTGCGACGCTGGGTTCGCTGGCTGGAAGGCTGGCTGGTCCGCCGGCAAGATGCTGTGGTGCTGCCAGCGCTACCAGAAGGGGTGCGAGCAGGGCCCGAATGGCTCCGAAGAGGCTAGTGCGCCCCTGCCCACTCCGAGCCCACTGCCGCTCCCTGTGCTGCAAGAGCCCAGCCTGTCGCCAGCTGTTGCAGCGCCAGGTGACACCGGCCAGCCCACGCCGTCGCCGGACGGGTTGCAGCCATCCATCGCGGTGCCTGCCCCCACGCCCGTGGACAGCAGCCAGGAGTCCGACTGTGACTTCGCCTGCCAGTGCTCCAGCAACGTTGTGAATTGCGAGCAGTACATCTTCGACGTCTTCCAGAAGACGTACGCTCTCATGTCAAACGCCTGCATGGCCGCCTACAACGTGGTCGTGGACAGCTGCCCCTGCTGCCTCGACGGCGGCTGCTCTGCCGAGGGAGCTGGCTGCGTCACCAGCGACGGCATGGCGCTGGGGGATGCCACGGGCGTGGAGGCGGCATCGCTGGAAAGCCAGGCGCCCGAGCAGGGGAAAGGCATCAATACAGCTGCCCTTACCTCGTTTTCGCCCTCTTTGGCCGCCTGGGAAGCCCTCGTCGCCACAGCTGGTTTCGCCTTGGAATTCTGGTCAGAGCACACCCTGGGGAGAAGTTCTGGTCAGTACCTCTTGGTCTCCCCAGGCATCAGAGAATCTCGAAACCGATGAGGCACGGCGTATCGAAGCCTCGAACGCCTTGCCAGATTTCGGCCTGACGCCGTTCCCCTAGGCCCTGGCTGTCGCTGCGTCTGCCCTTCTGACTCTATCATCGGGTCGGGCGAAACGTGGAGGACAGGGAAAGGGTGGATTACGATATCTGCTGCACGCAGTTGGTCACGGCCCTGCTGCCGGGTGCCTCCCTCGATGCATCGGCGCCGGGAGGCGCCAGGGAAACCAGCTGCGTGAGCTGATTCGCTGACCTCCTTTACTGCACCCTCCCCCATCCATCCGACCCGACGTCACCGTGGCACCGCCGAAGCGAGGCTGTCCTTGGGGCGACTCCGCGCCCGAGCTAATTGTACCTGGCCAGGGCTGCAGCCGGCCCGCTGGACACCCGTCGCGCAGCGGCGACCCCCGAGAGGGGGGCGGCGGCGGTCGGCTGGACCCAGACCTCTGGCGGTTCGATGTCTTTCCGAGTCGCCGACCCTTGGAGCTCTCGACCCCATCCTGGGGGCTGGAGGAGGAGGAGGAGGAGGAGGAGGAGGAGGAGGAGGAGGAGGAGGAGGAGGAGGAGGAGGAGGTCCCTGTGACTGCCCCGGGGCCCAGAAGCAGCCCCGCGGATGCCGAGAGCTGCCAGAGAGGCCTCCGGTGCGGCTCTTCCGTCGAGCCGCGGGTCTGGGCCGCCGCGCGGCGCGGCCTGCGGGGGCGCGGCGGCGGGCCGAGCCTTAGATGTCCCTCGGCGCGATCCGCTGGCGCGGGCGGGCGCTCCCCGGCCGGTCGGCGGGGGGGTCGGGACGTCCGCGCCGGGGCGCCCTGTCGGACGCCACGGCGGCGTGGCGGGCTCAAAGCTAGACGCCCGCGCCGCGGAGGCGGCCGACCTGCTCCCCAGACCTCCGACGCCTCGAGGGAGGCATGGCGGAGGCCTCTCGCCGTGGCTCCCAGGGCCCTTGGCATCGCTCGGACGTGTGCGTTTTTTCCTCGGCGAGGACCGTCGAGGAGCATCCTTGATCATTTGGCGAAAAAGCCACGCACAAAACCGAAAAAAAACAGGGAATGGACGTCCGAGCGATGGCCAGGCCATCCGAAAGCGCTCCGGGAGGAAGGCGTCGGTCCCGGGCAAGGGGTCGAGGGCCGCGGGGCCTGTGGCCTGCGGGTTGAGGAAACCCTGATCGGACCGGCCTAGGGCGAGGACAGATCCGTTCCAGAGCGCTCTGGAACGCTCTCCGAAGGCCGCGGCGCCCGAGCCATCCTCCAGAGCCGCCAGATCTCAGGGACTCGATCTATCCTCACCCGATTCTATCCTCGTCCTGCCTTCGTCTTACCAGGACTTCGGAGGTCTGGGTCGCTGGCGAAATCTTCGTCATGTGTGCGTGGTGCGGGGATCAATGCTCTGGCACGCTCTCTGCAACATGTGCCTGCCTTGTCCCGCCTCTCGTCCCGCTGGCTCGCCGTGGACGCCGTGGACCTTCTCCTGCTCCTCCTGCCTCCTCCCTACTCTTCGTCGTCCTCCTTTCCTGTCTCCTCCTCGCCTCCTCCTCGTCGTCGGCGCCGCCTCCTTCTTCTCTTCCTCCTTCCAGGTTCTCCACGCAGTCTCTGGTGCTGATCTTTCCCTCCTCCACGTCGTTCTGTTCCCATCGCTGCGGACCATCCTGGCGAGCGGTTTATCCTCCACTTCGACCGTGCCCATACGTGCTGGTCAGGGATATCCTCAATGTACGTGCCCTTTTTTTGTTCAAGCTAGCTTATTTTTGTTGTGCCTTCGGCTGCTTGTTGCTGCTGGGTGTTGTCGTTGGTTGAACTTCTACTTGTATCGCTCGTCTTGTTTTGGGTTCTTGTGTTGTCCTCACTAACGGCAAGGGACAGGATGAGGAGCAGGAGTAGAGGAGGAGGAGGAGGAGGAGGAGGAGGAGGAGGAGGAGGATGGACGGGAAAAGGAGGAGGCGGAGGAGGAGGAGGGTCAGTGTTAACCCAAGACGCATCAACGATGTTGCAATAAACCTACCCTCCAAGCTCCCTCTTCATAGGTTCCTACAAGAATGCTGTGTTATCATTGCGGTAAGTGCCCCATTAGGACAACCGTCTGAGAATCCCAAGTCGTGCCAGCATTTCTGGGACTTCAACGGCTCGAATTAACGTGGCTGTTGCGTCCTGACAATCATAAATCGCGACAGAACGCCGTTCCTGGGACTTGAACTCCGCAGAGCAGCGTGGAGGAGGAGAATGGGGGGGAGGAGGAGGAGGATGAGGAGTGCCAGGAATAGTGCCAGCAGTCTTCCTCTGAATGTCTCCCGCCCACTCCTTTTCTTGTTTTAGCCCGTGCTGTTAGAAGAATCTCATCTTCGTTCCGCACCCACGTTGCCTCAGGGTATGTTCCCAGTGTTGCTGAGCACCGGGATGGTCGCTTCCCCGATCGCTTCGCCTCCGTCCCTCCCTTCTTTCCCGACTCCCTCGGCCGCCATGGCGGCCTTCGGGCGCAGTGCACTTCGGCAAGGTCCTTGTCCCTGGACTGGCGCTGTATGTGCGATAGTGCACTGAAGGACTGCAAAGCCGTGCCTCCGTGGTGCCAGACGCCCTGACGAAGGCCGCCGACGGCCCTGCCAGTGGATGATGGCTTGCCCCACCGGTGGGACCTCCGCCGCTCTCTCCTTCGGCAGCTCGCAGTGGTCGCTCACCTTCAGTGCGCCAGTTTTCGATGCGTGAGGCCGCCTGCGTACTCCTCGTGGCGAAGATTCTCTACGCGGGAGGCCTCCCCCTCGTTCCTCCCTCCGCGGCCGCCCTCTTCTTTCCATTTGTCTAGCGCGCCCCTGCCAAGCGCGGCCCGCCGGCTTACCGACCGCGTCGGCGTCCGCCTTCGCCGCTGACCACTCAGCTTTGCTCAGGGTGTTGCGAATGTGCACGGCCCAGCCACTTGGCGATCCAGGGTTGTCTAGGCCGGTGGTGACGCTTCTTCGCGGCCTCTGTCAATCGGATGATATGTCTGTGAGCGGCCGCGTCGCGGTATGCATGTAGCAGCGGCTTTGGCCGGCAAGGGATGGCGGGCAGCCAGGTGGGGCGACCTGCAGCGAAACGCCGTCGCAATCAGCGGCACCATCAGCCGTTACGGCGGAGACGTCCGTTAATGAATGTGCCCAGGAGGCTGCAGACCCTGGGGGGTTCCTTATCTGATCAGGGCGGCGGTGATATCCATGGCCGATCCACGATTGGAGCTCTGTATCTAATCTAAGGGTTCCTTGTCCAAGGAATGGGCATGCCTGGTGTCGCACAATCGCGTGTGGTCCCCTGCTTTTCGCTGTGGTGCAGCAGGCCCCCGGTGCCTTTTTCGGCAGGCTCGAGGAGAAAGGGGGCTCCGCGCGCTTCTGAACGGCCCCCCGCGTGCCAAGGCTGACATGGTACGGTGAGGGCAGTGGGTACGGAAACGTTGGACAAGGAATCCAGGGTCTGGAAGCCGGTGGAACTCCCACTTGAGGCCTGGCCATGAATGTATCACCGCCGCCCTCATCAGAGAAATCCTCCACGGCCTGAAGCTTCCTGGGCACATGCCGTGTCCAACGCCCCCACCGCTTTTGCGATCATTGGCCCTTCTGATCCCAGCCATTGTGCTTGGGAGGTGGGTGGCTGGTCTATGCGGGTTCGGTGATCGGCGCCGCGGGCCCACATCCCTACAGCGCCGGTTTTAACATGCTCCGCGTGCGGATCAGGTATAACAAATGCAGGGGTTCGGCATTAAAAACAATGATGAGTTCATGCATACATTTATTCATAAATGAATCATGTATTTAAAAGTCCCACATTTTTAAACAATCCTATGTATCAAAAACTGCCCTGCAGTTCCAGGAGCGATGGCCGGTCGCTCGAGCCGCGGAGTGCGCGCGGTCGGTGCCCCGGCATTGCCCCATGGTGGGGAACCTCGATGAGATGCACTGTTTGTGCTGCTGTGTAGAGGAGCCCACCAGCGGCGTGCGTCCTCGGCTGCAGTTCGGCTAACCATGCTGCAGGTGCTGGTGCTGTTGTTGATGCTGGTGGTGATGTGGTGGTGATGCAGCTGATGATGCATGCGTGGATGGCGATGGCGGTGACGACCACGACGTTGACGTTATGATTGGTGACGGTGATGGTGATGGTGATGGTGATGGTGATGGTGATGCTAATGTTAATGCTGCTGCTGGTGATGATGCTATGATGAAGATACTGACGATGATGTTGATGATGCTGCTGCTGATGATGCTGATACTGATGCTGATACTTATTCTGCTGCTGCTGGTGACGATGATGACGATGACGACGACGATACATATGATGATGGTGATGATGATGATGTTGTTGATGTTGATGATGGTGATGATGACGATACTGATGATGACGATTATGTTGATGATGATGATGATGGTGCTGGTGGTGGTTGTGGTGGTGATGGTGGTGGTGGTGGTGGTATGTGTGGCGGTGGAGACGGTTAGAATACTAATGATTTTTCTGTTGCTGATGATGGTGCTCTTGTTGATGGTGACGGTGGTGAGAAGAGGGGAGGCCTGGGAGGGATGGAGGGAACATAATTACCATATGGGCAGGGGGATGATGGATGATGAGGGAGGAACAGGATGGGGAAGAGGAGGACGAGGATGTTCCGTGGTCATCTGGGCCAAAGCGTTGAGGCAGCGGTCGACTCCTCGAGTTGTGCCATCGGCACCTGTGCTACTAATGAAGTGTTCCATCGTCTCCTGGGTTTGCCTTGCATCGTGCGCACTGGCACGGGCAAGCGTGGCGAACATCGTCTCGCGCCATCCGGTCGAGAAGGTGATCGGCCTTCTCAATGACCTCATTGCGCAGGCCAAAAAGGAGAGCCAGGAGGAGGAATACCTCTACACAAAGTTCGAGTACTGGTGCACGGGCTCCCAGAAGACTCTCAGTGGAGCCATCGCCAAAGAGAAGGAGGACATTGACAAGCTCGAAGATGTGATCGCCGCCAAGACGGAGGAGCTCGATGTGCTGACGAAGCAGATCGAGGCTCTCGCGGTCCAGCTCGCGGATCTGGACGGCCAGAACACGAAGGCCGAAGCTCTCCGCGCCAAGGAAAGCAACTTGTATCGAAGACGCCTACGGCGAGTCACCACCGCCCCTTGCTTTTTTGGAACCGCCTTTTTGGCCGAACGTTTGGGGAGAGCTTTGCCAAGCTATCGGACTATGTGTTTCCCCAGCCGCTCTTGAAACTCTTCGGGGAACACTTGGCGGAGGATCGGGAGAGGGAGAGGAGAAGGAGGAGGAGAGGAGAAGGAGGAGGAGGAGGAGGAGAAGGAGAAGGTGCAAACCTCAGTCTCACCAACTATGTTGCACTAACCCTCCTCCTTCATACGCCCCCCTACAAGGCTCATTTTCATTGTGGGAACTGCCCCGTTGGAAGACAGCCCTTTGAACATCTGGACCTGCGTCAGGACACCATTCCTGGAACTTCAACGCCGCGAATCATCATTGCTGTTGCGTCTTGACGACCCGGAATCGCGCTAGAACACCACCCCTGGGATTTCAACACCGCGAACCAACGTGATTGTTACGCCCTGACATTCCGACATCGTGCCGGAACACCATTTCTAGGACGTTAACCATGAGAACCTTTGAGCCTGCTGCGAGCTCTTAAGACGAATCTGCGCGGCGCTGAGGCGTGAGCCACATGAGGTACTGCTCTCCATCCGTGAAGCTTATGCACAGTCCGTAGAACGAGTGGTGCACGGCGCAAC